GCCAAAAATGTGGAAGAGAAGTGGGGCATAAGGAGGTGGGGAGGGGGTTGCGTGGATTATGCCTAATTGCGACAGAGAAGGAGAGGAAAACAACGCGACTTGATAGACGGCCAGTGTCTCACAGGACAATAAGTGCGGACAAAATACAACAGATAGTTTTTTTTTTTTTTTTAAACATGATAAATGTCAACTATTGGTGCCTACACGCCTAACTACTGTTTCTGTCTATGACGAACTACACTTCTACTGTCGGACTGTAGGTAGTAGCATTTCTGATAACTAAGAAGGGACTGTGAAGGAAAGGGTTTTCCGGTAGCACATTAGCGGCAACCATGGAGTCACGCTTCTGAAGCTGGCGACAACCATGAAATGACCCGTTGAAAGATGAAAGAACTAAGATTACCAGGTTATGCCTACATGTGTGTGAGGTCAATCTGCCACATAAATTCACGTAACGGATCTAATACTGTCATTAGGTGTTTTTTTTTTTTTCCCTTTGATAATTCTGTCTAAAATGTTTGCTGAAGAGGGGAAAATTGTGGCTAGGTCGGGCAGAAGATGTCATTAGGCAAATATGCAGCCTAACTGACATCATACCTGGTGCAGAATGGATACCTGTGCCTCAGGCGTTTATTTGTACATTTTCCTGTATTGTCACACTCAACAGGCGATGAAGAGAAGAGAATCCTGTTGCTGTTAATGCAGAGGTCAATGCTCTCATCGGTGAAAATTCAGACGAAGCAGATGCAATAATCTATACAGACGGATCCGTTATACGCCAAAGAAGACGCGCATGTGCATTTACAGCACGCTCAGCGGGCAGAACAGTCAAAGAAGCCAACGGCGCCTTCTCCATGACAACCAGCAGCATGACGATGGAGGTGATGGCAGTGACACAAGCGCTTGCCTGGCTTGAAACACAAAAATACACCCGCGTGTGTATACTCAGTGATTCAATGAGTATGATCCGGAGGGTTCAGGCAGGTTCAGTGCGAAGACAATGGCTTGAATCATTACAGAAGTCCACTGTTCGTGGAGTCACCTTTATTTTTGTTCCGGGACACGCAGGCGTCGATGGAAATGAAAGAGCTGACAGGTTGGCTGGATCCGCTATCACTACCGACGGTCAGCCTATGGATCATGCTGATATTATCAATGCCCTCAGAGAAATGGGAAGAATAGAGGACTTTGGTGGCAGTGAATCCACATCACTCGCCAGAATGGCAGACTTGGGAATTAAGATCGGCACAGCAAAAAACGAGACGCACACCGGACACGTCAGAAGACTTGTTAATCAACATAGAACTGGTACTACTAGCCATCGGACGTTGGGGTTCATACTGAGGGGAGGATCTGAGCACCTATGGACATGTCCGGAGTGCAATGAGGATAACCCAACTAACTAACTAACTAACTAACTAACTAACTAACAAATGTTTGCCCCAGGAGTTCTAAGGATGTCTCTATGAAACAACATCTGTAAGGCCTAGATAAATTGCTTGAATGCAACATGCACTAACAGTCTAAATACAGACGCGTGTCTGTCAAACACTGATTAACACTGATACAACATGCACTAACAGTCTAAGTACCCGACGCGTGTCCGTCATACACTGATGAACACTGATACAACATCAAACAGAGAACGATCACAGACCAGATGGTAGATGCTGCTGGGTGTGAAAACGGCTTGTCGTTGGTCGAGAAGTTCAAGGAAACACTTCAACTGTCGTTTGGTGCAGAGCAGATCTCTGGAAATTTCCGGCTGTTTTTTTTTTTTTTCGTGTCTGTGTGTCTGTGTGTGAAAGAGTGAGTGTGTGAGAGAGAGCTTGACCTGTGCGAGCGTGCAAGAGAGATGAAAGATAGAGAGAGAGATAGATAGAGAGAGAGAGAGAGAGAGAGAGAGAGAGAGAGAGAGAGAGAGAGAGAGAGAGAGAGGGAGTGGAGGTGTGTGTGCGATTCTGAGGACACATTCTGGAGAATCTAACAAGCTTGAACTGACTGAAGTTGTTTGATTGTTAAGGTTGGTATCACACCGATTCTCCCGTATTCTACAAAAAGCTGTGTGTACACTTGAATCGGTGCAGTCGCACATCGGTTGTAAACATCTAGTAATGTTGTCTTCATTCGTTCATCCATCTGCCAGGACACACTCGCAGCCCCACATCTGGCCGGACACACTCACAGCCCCACATCTGACCAGACACACTCACAGCCCCACATCTGGCCAGACACACTCACAGACCCACATCCGACCAGACACACTCACAGCCCCACATCTGGCCGGACACACTCACAGACCCACATCTGACCAGACACACTCACAGCCCCACATCTGGCCAGACACACTCACAGCCCCACATCTGACCAGACACACTCACAGCCCCACGTCTGACCAGACATTCACAGCCCACATCTGGCCGGACACACTCACAGCCCCACATCTGACCAGACACTTACAGCCCCACATCTGACCAGACACTCACAGCCCCACATCTGACCAGACACTCACAGCCCCACATCTAACCAGACACACTCACAGCCCCACATCTGGCCGGACACACTCACAGCCCAACATCTGGCCACACTCACAGCCCCACATCTGGCCGGACACACTCACATCCCCACATCTGGCCGGGCACACTCACAGCCCCACATCTGACCAGACACACTCATAGTCTCACATCTGACCAGACACACTCACAGCCCCACATCTGACCAGACACACTCACAGCCCCACATCTGGCCGGACA